GCACGCCTATCTTCTTTGGTGAAATTTCTTTTCAAGTCCTTTGCCCACCTTGCAATGGGATCACTTGGGTTTTTTTTTGGTTTTTGTTATGTTAATAAGTTTGAGTTCTCAATGGATTCTGGTTATTAAACCTTTGTCAGAGACATAACCTGCAAATATTTTCTCCCACTCTGAGGGCTGTCTGCATGCCCTACTTACTGTGCTTTTGGCTGTGCAGAAGCTCTTTAGTTTGATCAGGTCCCAATAGTGTATTTTTGATGTTGCTTCTATTGCCCGTGAGGTCCGTCTCATAAAAAATTCGCCCAGGCCAATTTCTTCAAGTGTTTTCCCTGCACTTTCTTCAAGTATTTTTATGGTTTCATGTTTTAAGTTTAAGTCCTTAATCCAGTGAGAATCTATCTTAGTTAATGAACACCAGCTATTTTTAGAGACAAGGTCTCAATCTTGCTCAGACTGGTCTTCAACTCCTGAGCTCAGGCAATCCAACCACCTCAGCCTCCCAAAGTGCTAGGATTACAGGCGTGAGCCACTGTGCCCAGCTTGAATTAAGGATTTTAATACCAGAAAATAGTATTTTTGAATCTTCTGCAAATGCTTACCATTTCAAAAAGGGTAGGGCTATCTAGATGACTCTAATGACATCAGAATTGGTCACTATTTCTATGTGTTTCGTTGTGTATAAGATTTTCTTTTTTCTTTTTTTTTATGTATTTATTTACTTATTTATTTTAATTGAATGGTAACTGTGTACATTAATGCACTTCTGGCGTACAGTGGTGTTTTCACACACAATCTGAAACACTTCCATCAAACTGGTTAACATAGCCTTCATATCATTTTCTTAGTTATTGTGTTAAAACATTCATATTCTACTCATAGAAAGATTCACTTGTACCCTTGTAAGATAAACCGCAGAAGTGAACCCTCGAATCCCCCTTCCTCCACCCATTCCCCCCTCCCCCCTCCCTGTGTATAAGATTTTCTTTTTTTTTTTTTTTTTTTTTTTGGCCGGGGCTGGGTTTGAACCCGCCACCTCCGGCATATGGGGCTGGCGCCCTACTCCTTTGAGCCACAGGTGCCGCCCAAGATTTTCAAATGAAATAGCATTTGGCTTTTTAAGCTGTTTGCTGCGGGGTTTGTTTTGTTTTGGTTTTTGCTTTTCCTCATAGGAACAGAAATAGGTAAATATTTGATTAATTATATGTGGTCAATTTAGAGGAAGAGATATGATAGGAAGTTGAGAATATAAATATAATGTAAAATAGGAACATCTGGTATTAAAGGTAATAGAGAAAAGAAAAAAACTTTGATAGGTTTATTTTGTGTCAGATACTATACTTTGAGCTTTAAGTATATTAATTTGTTTGATTCTCAGTATGATCTTGCAAGTTGGATATATTATTCCTGTTTTACAAGTGAGGAAACTCATGCTCACAGAAGTTTAGTAACTTGTCCCAGGTGACAGAGCCAGAAGTTAACTGCCTTTCTTATATAGTTATATCATAGATACGATATCTAACATAGTAGCTTTAGTAGTCACATAAATCACCATCACTCAGAAAGGAGCAATACCTAATTGTAAGTAAACTATCTAAAAGGCAACAAAGAAATACTGAATTAAAAACCTGTATGTAGGATCGGCACCTGTCGCTCAGTGGTTAGGACACCGGTCACACACACTGAGGCAGGCAGGTTCAAACCCAGCCTGGGCCTACTAAAACAATAATGGCAACAGCAACAAAAAAAATAGCTGGGCATTGTGGTGGATGCTTATAGTCCCAGCTATTTGGAGGCTGAGGCAAGAGAATCGCTTAAGCCCAGGAGTTTGTGAGCTGTGATGCCATGGCACTCTATCAAGGGTGACATAGTGAGACTCTTGTCTCAAAAAAAAAAAAAAGCAAAAAACTATATGTGTAAGGTCATGATAATATAGAAAAGAGTTAAAATGAAATCCTGGCTTGGCACCTGTGGCTCAGGTGGCTAAGGTGCCAGCCACATACACCTAACATAGCAGGTTCAAATCCAGCCCAGGCCTGCCAAACAACAATGACAGCTGCAACCAAAAAATTGCCGGGCGTTGTGGTGGGCTCCTGTGGTCCCAGCTACTTGGGAGGCTGAGGCAGGAGACTCGCTTGAGCCCAGGAGTTGGAGCTGTGATGCCACTGCACTTTACCCAGGGGGAGAGCTTGAGGCTCTGTCTCAAAAAAAAAAAAAAAAATGAAATCCCAAAGTTTTAAAGTTTAGAGTGAAAACATACCATATGACAGGGCCGTGGGAAGAACGGGTATATGCAAATCTTGTGGCGCCCAGGGAAGCCAACTGGTGAGAAGTTTTACTGGGTAGCAAGTCTCAGCCTGAATGCTGGCCCTCACCTGGCAGATGCTGACATTGACATTTGTCCAGATACCTAGAGAGGTCAGACTGGCCAGTCCTAACCGTGTCACTCAAGGTGATTTCTTCTCCCAATCTATCTGACACCAGCTAGTCTTCTTTTCCACTGACAGGAGAGCTTTTGTCCCTTCCCAAGTCTCTTTCCCCCTGGGAGCCAGGTCTCTGGGAAGCTGTTGCCTAGTGGGCCTGGAATCTGAACAAAGGGGTGAGAAGGGCTAGTGGAGAAGTGATTCACACAGACCTTGGTGAAGCCTGAAGAACCATCTCCACCCTCTGCAGGGAGGTCCTCTGTGGGGACTGGGATAAACACATCTCTCAGCATCCTGATGTTTCAGACAGCACTGGATACGCACATGGCCACATTGGGCTTCTCTGAATGTTGGCTTTTCTCTGGATGCCTCACTCTTTGGTTGCTGCATTCTTTCCTTAGACAAGTTGATGTCTTATGAACAGGCTAAAGAGCTGTCTTCTGAGCCAGAAAGCTTTTCTCTTCTTTTTCTGTGTTGGACTGTGCCTACCTTATTTCTCCCTTTTCTAAGTTCTGGTTCCTCTAGGACTTTTCTTATCGTGGTGAGTATACCAGTTTTTGAAGCACTTAATATCTCAGAGTTGAAATTATAAGAGTTTTGATCTAAAGCCCTATTGAGGTTTTTTTGTCTTTTAAGGCTCTTCTGAAAATTTTTGGATGAATCTCATAAATAACTCTTTTTCCAGTTTGAGGAAAATGTAGCAATGTAGGTGTTTTTTTTATTTCATTCTGATTTTGTGCCTTTTTTACCTAGGCATTAAGCAGTCACACTGCTTTTACCAAGCATAGCGAGGAACTTGGAACTGAAGAGGGCGAGGTTGAAGAGATGGAGACTTTAGACCCTCAGACCGGTCTCTTTTACCGATCTGCCCTGACTCAGTCACAGTCAGCTAAACCGCAAAAACTTAGCCAGCCCCCGCTGGAACAGACTCAGCTGCAAGTAAAAACCCTGCAGTGCTTCCAGACTAAGCAGAAGCAGACCATCCACCTGCAGGCAGACCAGCTCCAACACAAACTCCCACAGATGCCCCAGCTTTCCATCAGGCATCAAAAACTCACCCCTCTCCAGCAAGAACAAGCACAGCCCAAGCCAGATGTACAGCACACACAGCATCCTATGGTGGCCAAAGACAGGCAGCTTCCGACCTTAATGGCTCAGCCCCCTCAAACTGTGGTCCAGGTACTTGCGGTGAAAACCACGCAGCAGCTTCCTAAACTGCAGCAGGCTCCGAACCAGCCCAAAATCTACGTGCAGCCCCAAACCCCCCAGGGCCAAATACCGCTCGCAGCCTCAGCAGAGAAACAGCCGGCAAGCCAGGTAACGGAATACTGATAGCATGCAAAGTTAAACTTCTCTATTCACGGAAAACAATGAGAACATCACAACCCTGTCATGGTAGCAGTGCTTTCTCCTGGCAAGAGGAAACCCAAAGCCTCATTATGCTGGTATTACTTTGCCCCAGCAGAAGGTTGACGTTAGGAAAGAAATGCACTCGTTAATGTGTAGGAAAACTCAGAACTTGATTTTCCAGGCAGTTTTTAATGAAATCACTTCAGCATTGACCAACAGTGCATAGAAGCAATATTTCTAAATTAATTTTATTTTTTAGTTATAAAATATTTATTTTCATGCCTATAAACTATTTCTGTAGCAATAATGCTAAGTAAACTGCAGTCTTTTAAGGAACATCATTGAACATCTTCCTTTGTAGTTTATGTCTCACTGTCAAGTTAATAAATTTATCTTTTAGACTGTAGAGGAATTATCTGTGATTAATAGAAAAAATTAGTGAAAGTCAGTGGTTCTGGAGTGATATACATGTGTGTATGTGTATATTATAAATACATATATGTATATATACAATATGTTTGTATAAATGTATTTTGAAGCAAAAGATTGGAAAAATTTTTACTTTTTTTTTATTTTAAAAAGCTGAAGATTCTATGAAATAATTTGAGCCGGGTCAAAGGAGTACTGTTTAGGGATATAAATCCCAAAGGATAACTAGGCTGCTGTGACTTTTCCTTTACTGCTATAAACCTTGGCTGGCTGAAAAAAGTTTTATAAACCCCTCTTCTTTCTCTGGGCACCATAAAAGTAACCAGATCCTTCCTATTCAGCTCTCTTTTTAAAGCACCAAGCTTCAAAAATGTCTTCCTAGTATACCACACAAATGTTTCTTTTGCCATATTGTTTGGGGTGTTTTGATTAGGTTTTCTCAAAGAGATGTAGCTATAACACACACAACCCCAATTTATTTTCAGGTGGAGCAGCCAATTATAACCCAAGGATCCTCTGTTACAAAGATAACTTTTGAGGGGCGCCAGCCTCCCACAGTTACAAAGATAACTGGTGGCAGTTCTGTTCCTAAGCTGACATCACCAGTTACAAGCATATCTCCCATTCAGGCCTCTGAGAAGACAGCAGTGTCAGACATTTTGAAAATGTCTTTGATGGAAGCACAGATTGATACAAATGTAGAGCATGTGGTAGTGGAAACCCCAAAGAAAGCTCTTGCCACTAGTATGCTCACTGGTGAAACAGGATCATTACCCTCCACCCACATGGTGGTGGCAGGGATAGTGAATTCCACTCCCCAGCAACAGAAATGTAGAGAGTCCTGTTCAAGTCCATCTGCTGTTGGCCCTCCCCTAACAACAAGGAAAATCGATGCACCAGGAGTGCCTGCGACAGGCCAATTCATGCGTATACAGAACGTAGGCCAAAAGAAAGCTGAAGAGAGCCCTGCAGAAATTATCATCCAGGTAAGAATCATAAGGAAAATGAGAAATCTTGGGTATCTTGGGAGTAGTGGGCTTGGGGTACTTTGGGAATTCACTGGCAAAGTCAAGCTGAGAAGACATAGAGATTATCTTTGAGATAGTCTTTGAATAATTTATAATATCTATTATAAATATACAAATTTATATTTGTTTTCTGGGAGAGAATCCTAGAAAATTGATGGATATTATCACATAGCACACCATAAAGGCAATAAAGGGCCCTGAGTCCATGTGACGGCTTGATTTTGTAAGATACAAGCCATACTTGCCAATGTGTTAACTCAGCGAGCTAACCCAGAAAATAGCAATTTCCTGGGTTCAAATTTTAGATTCTTCAATCTTTGCTCAAAAAATCCTGGAATGTAACTGGATTATACTTTTAATTCAAGTTAATTTTAGGGCTCCTTTCCTTAGGAAAACAGTTCTTATTCTTGATCCAAATTTATGGTTCTGAGGACAGTCAAACCTCAATTAATTGGAATGCCTGGAGAAACACATTCTAAGAGGGTGTTTCTAAATATTTTAATTTTATATCTAACTTGGTATTAATCATAAACTTTGCTTTTTATTTCAATCATTGTTATTTAAAAAATCTTGTTATGGTTACTGCCTGCCTAGGTAAGTATAAGCTAGTTAACATAATGGAAATATTCATTGACAGTAGATCTTCCTATGCCTCATGTTCCCTTCATTCTAAAAGTCATCTCTCATCATGCATAATAGATCAAGACTGAAGAATTACTGACTCCAGATTATATCTGAGAGGTTGTGTTTTATTTCTCTCTCTCCTTGCAAAGTATCAGATTATTTTCTTGGCATTTGTTATTTTTCCTAAGCTGTTGAATAGCTTAGAAGATGTCAGAGCAGCTCATTTTAGTTAATTGAGCATTTGGATTTATTGAAATGTGGAAGAGTAGTGGACTTATCATAGATCCACTATTGCATGACTCGGTAGTTTCTGTGGTAAACTTTCTCTTTGCCATGATGTCATACTATGAGAGAATGCAAATTGACCAATATTAAGCCAGTTAAGATAAAAAATGCATATGGGGAAAATGTTCAAAGGCAAGTAGAAATGGCCATTAAATTATTCAATAATTTTTTTCCTTTTATAAAAACAAATGTTAATGAATTAAATAATCTTTGACAAAAGGACTTGCAATTTTTTTGTTTTGTTTTTAGAGACAGAGTCTCACTTTGTCGCCCTCAGTAGAGTGCTATGGTGTCACAGCTCACAGCAACCTCCAGCTCTTGGGTTTAGGCGATTCTCTTGCCTCAGCCTCCCAAGTAGCTGGGATCACAGGTGCCCGCCACAATGCCCAGCTATTTTTTCCCTGCAGTTTGGCAAGGGCCGGGTTTGAACCCCCCACCCTCGATATATGGGGCTGGCACCCTACTCACTGAGACACAGGCACCACCAAGGACTTGAGATTTTTAACATTTTCTCCTGAAGAGGTAGGGTATGGTAGAAAAGGAATGGTTCTCTATCTTTGCCATTCTTTCTATGACTTTGGGCAAGACTTCTTAACCTCACCCTGCCTTAGATTTCTCATCAGTAAAATGGGAATAAGTAATGCCTACTTTATAAGATTTATGAAAGGATTACACAAAATTAATTACTTTGGGCAAGGACACTTAACCTCAGTCTACCTTAGGTTTCTCATTGATAAAATGGGAATAAGTAATGCCTGTTTTACAGGATTACTATAAGGATTTAGACAAAATTAAGCACCTAGCACAGTACCTGGTTCATAGTGATTGTCCAGCCCGTGGTAACTAATACTGCTATTAGTAAAATTTACTGTAGCTACTGGGGATTTAGATTGCTGTGCTCACTAATTTGAAAATAATTTTAGAGTGCTTATTTGGAAATTATTTTTCTACACTTTATTAACAGGGATGAAAATGTAATTTGTTTCATGTATTAACAGTGATAGCTAATGCATAGGTTCCCTATAGAATTCTCAGCCAAATTTTAGCATGTCTCATGTGCTAGATTGCTGTGTCAGAGGTAAGGGCAGCAGAATAATTAAGAACCAAGCTTTTGGAGCCTGAGATTCCCTAGATTTGATTTCCACTTGTACTCATTATGTAACGACAGTGTGGCTTTGGGTAACTGAGTCAACAACCTCTACACCTATGAAGTAGAAACAGTAACTCCTACCTCACAGGGTTGTTTTGAGGATTAAGTGAGAAAATGTATGTAAAACATCTGATCAAGTGTTTGATGTAGAGCAATACTCAATAAAGATAGATGCTGTTGTTATACTATTATAGCAGTAATAGAGTGTTAGAATATTTCAGATCTTATTAGCTATGTGTAGCTTTGATCTGAAGTATTGATTTTCTGGGTCTGTGAAGTGCTTTGATTCTTTGAAGAATGCTATATAAAAATTTTATATTTGATGTTAAATTCTTAGAATGGAAAGCGTTTTATTATTTTTAAACAATTTATATTTTCTTTCATTGGTCCATTTATTCATTCTCTCACTCCAGATAATATTAATTAACCACTGTGTTAAGTGGTAAGGATAGAGAAGTAAACAAGATGGATACATTTTCTATCCTGACAGAGTCTACATGGAAGTCATAGACTTTTAGAACTGCAAGGATCTTAGAATGTTATCTTCCACTTGTTTTATTTTATACAAGGTTAATCTAAGACTCAAAGAAGCCCTCAGCAAGTCAGGGACAGAACTGAACTAAAATCCCGTCCTCCTGACCCTGTCTAGTAGTTTTTCACAATGATTAGCAATGTGGAAGAGAGGGAGAAACAAACGAAACTTCACTACCCTGGAATTAATGCCTGGGCATCTTGCATTATTTTCTTGATGGTGTTAAATTTTTTCCCCCCTGTAAAAAGCTATTTTGGCCAGGTATATTTGTACAGTACTAGTATTCAACATTTTTCTGAGGTTTTTAACGTTAAAAATGTATCCCAAAATGTGTATTATTCATCTGTCAAATGTTTATTGAGCATCTACTGTATGCCAGGCCCAGTTCAAAGCTCTGGGCATCTAGCAATGAATAAAATAGTCAAGGTTTATGCTCTGCTCTCATAGAGCTTATATCTTAAGAGTAAGTAATAATTGAACAAATACATGATAAACACAATAAAGAAAATGTAACATACATAATATAAGATGTAGAAGGTAGGACCAGCCCACTACTTGTAGTTTAGTGGTCATGGAAGGAAGGCTTCTGTGAGCATTTGAGCTAAATTGCATATAACAGGATAGAGCCAGCCATGCAAAGATTAAGAGGAAGAGTATTCAGGAAGAGAGGAAGGGCTAGTGCAAAAGCCCTGCAGTAAAAGTGAGTTTACTATGGAGTTGTGGTAAGGAGTTTGATTATATATGGGAGACAATTATAGAATTTTAAGCAGAGATGTGACATATACTGATAAACCTTTTAAAAATAATGTCAAGAGGCTGGGCCCAATAGCTCATGCAGGTAATCCTAGCACTTTGAAAGGCTGAGGTGGGAAGATCACTTTAAGTTAGTTCAAGACCAGCCTGAGCAAAAGTGAGACCCCTATGTCTACCAAAAATAGAAAATAGCTAGGTGTGATGGTGGGCATGTAATCCCAGTTGCTTGGGAGCTGAGGCAGGAGGATCACTTAAGTCAAGGAGTTGAGGTTACAGTGAGCTATGATGACACTACTGCACTCTAGCTAGCTGAGGTGACAATATAAAAATATATTCTAAAATATATAAATATAAATAAACAATAAAAAATAAAAAGGTGACTAATAAAAGTGAGGAAAAAGCATCTGACAAGGCAATATGCCTAGGATATTTACTTAGAACTCCACAGCAAATGTTTTTCTACTGGTATTTATTGTTTTAAAGGCAAGGTTTGACCTCTTTTGTACCTGAATGGTTTCCTTACTCTTACTTTCAGTAAAGATTGTTACTGTGTGACCTCAACAAATAACTCCCCCCCCCCTTTTTTTTAAATTTAACTCATTTTTTAAATTTGTCATTATTAATGAGGAAACCAGTAAGATGTTACGACCAGTTCACAGGGCTATCCAAAGAAGAAAAAACATTTTAAGATCAAAAATACTGAAATGAATGTGCAAACACAGGCAAAACTGGCTTCTTCCACAGTGTGGGAGAGAAGTCAGTTGAATCTCCACTAGACAGAATTTATTTACATGTCTTTAGACAAGAATTATTTTGCAAATCTACCAATTATCTACAACTTAACAGAGTTGTAAAACAGCTCCATAAAAGGAGCAGAGCCCTATAAAATCAGAATCCAAAAACCTTGGAAGGGTATATTCTGAAAAAGACATAGTTTTCCATTGAATAACTTCTCCTTTGAACCACCAAAAAGGGTTAAAATATATTGTGGTATTAGCAAATTAATCATCTCGTAAATAAAGAACAGAATTTGACTATATTTACTTTTAAATTTGCCTGATAAGCAAATGTAAGTATCCTTTAAAGTTTGTCTTTTGAATTAGGCAGTAGACTTCAGCTTCCTTTGCTGGAAGAGGCTCCATAAAGAAGTAGAAAGATCTCTTTTAGTTGTACAAGCGTTGGATTTGAATCCTGGTATTAACCTTGATCAACTTGTAACTTTAATTAAGTCACCTACCTTCTCACTTTCCTCATCCAGAAATGGGAATGACGATTTTCTTATGGGGATTTAGTAAAATAATATTATGTACAAGAAACCACCTAGCATCAGTGCCTGGCATGTAGTAGTTGTCCAATAAATGTCAGTTTTCTTAGTGTTGTTGGGGAAATTCTTCTTTTTTACCTTTTCTTACCATAAAGATTCTCCTGTGTTTTCTCTTTCAGGCCATTCCCCAGTATGCTATTCCTTGTCACTCCAGCTCCAATGTGGTAGTAGAGCCCAGTGGACTTCTTGAGCTAAACAACTTCACCAGTCAGCAGCTGGATGACGATGAGACGGCAATGGAGCAGGACATAGACAGTAGCACAGAGGATGGAACTGAGCCAAGCCCCTCTCAGAGTTCTGCTGAACGGTCCTAGTGTTTTGGACACAGTAGTGCACTTTAAAACCTGCTTGGTTACCAAGTGTCCAGGGAAACTCTTGTATTTTGATGTCTAAAAAGAGCACTTTGCCCATACTTAGGCTGTGGACCCGAAAACAGCTGTGTTTCAACAAGATATTGCTGCAGGAGCAGCGTTTTAAAACAAGATAAAACTCACAGGGGAATGTACTTTTTTTTTAATAAAAAAGGAAAAAGGCAAAAAAAAAAAAAAAAGATGCACATCTACAATGACTTAAGACCTGAGTTCTCTGTTGGACCATGGCCGATGGAAAAGTTTTGTCTTACAGTAGAAAGAGACTTTTCCTGTGAATGTTTCTCAACTGGTTTCTACTGAGCAAAATAGTATCTTGAAGGAGAATGTGAATAGTTTGTATTTTGAAATGATGTGTTGGAAAAAGTTTATTTTTTATGTTTTTGCAAATCCCTGGAAGTGTTGAATTGGTTAACATTTTACATTTGCTCAGTTCATAATTAGTTTATAAATATCTTGAAACATACTGGCATTAAAGAATCCTTGTTGGATGGGGGAGATCGGATCCCTAACCAGTGGAAAGTGCTTTTTAGGTGGTTTGTACATTCTCATCAGTTGTATGCTAATTTATTGTGGTGTTGTTCCTTTGTGCTTTAGGCAGCACACTTGCCTTCTATTTATTTAAGTGTAAACATTTCAGAGCAGATCATATTTCTTCTGACAAATTTCTTGTAAACCAGAATTTCCAGCCCTTTCCACCTCTGTCACCCACTCTTCCCTCCCTTCCCCTCCTCCTTTAGGAAAACTTATTAGAAAATGTTTCATTATGAAGCAGAGGAAAAGAAACATTTTCTGGCCCAAAGGAATTGTTCAGTTATGTTAAGGACAAATTATTCATTTATGTGATGCTTTCTTAACATTGAAATTGCACATTTATGTTGAACTAAGACTTTGAAAATAACTTTTATGACATTTGTTTAAGCCCCTTTGAAATGTATAAAAAGTTAATTTGCAGTCCTCAATGTAACATTTTTAAGTATTCTGCCTTTTTAGGATGCAGTTTGTTTGACCAGTATGTTTTGGTCTTGTGATTGCTGTCTGTCACAAGTAGAGTTGAGGGGTAAGGGAGTGGGAGGACAAGAGTCAGTTTTGACAAGTTGTGGTAAATGAAACTATACCTTTTGTTTTTAAAAAATGTAAATAGGAAAGTTTTTAACGGTTTTATATAGATTTCACTATAAATAAGCATTTTAAGACTGACAAATGTTGAATTGTACATACATATATCAGCATAACTGCCCAATTTTTTGGTGCTGAAGTACTGTAAGTAGAATTCATCAACAGTTTCCTAATTTTTGCATCTATATCTGGGTACAAAAGCTGTGATATTATAGTTAATAATTCCCACTGGAGTGACACTGAAGATTTAAACACGAATATTCATAAGAAGCACTGATCTCTGGTGGCTGTCAATATTTCTACCAGGTAATAATGACTTACCCATAGATGGAGCTGTTGGGATATTATTTTATTGTACAAATTCGTGTTTAAAAAACTTTGTGACTCTGTTTCTAGTTAAGTAATTTTTTAACTTCTCTTGGGTCATGGATTTCTTTGGAAATCTGATTAAAGTATCAACTGTCACCAAAAAGATACACATGCCACGTGTTAACTGCACATTAGGCTTTGCATACAATTTTAGGGGTTCATGGGCCTCTAAAGCCTATCCATGTATTCAGGTTAATCCCTCTGTTATGGTCAATCCATTACTTACAGATGTAAGTTTTTATAAAATAAAGTATCTTTTAAATATTCATGGTTTAGGTAATAAGAGCAAGCTTGAATAAAGTTATGTTCTACATATTTTGGTAGCATAGCTTACCTGTGTCCTTTTGAGATTTAGCTTTAATATTTTCCACAACTGGAATGGCAAAACTGCCATAGTCCAAGTTTTGAAAAAATATATATGTATATTAACACATTATCAAATGAGAGATCAAATTTTTTCTTTTAAATGTGCTAATTCCAAATATAACAAATTTATTTATTCAACAAATATTCAATAAGCATCTTCTCTATGACAGATACCATTCATTCCAAGTACCAGGGATACCATAGTGAACAAAAAAAAAGAATCCTACCTTTCTGGAGTCTGTGAATAGGGCTTTCTACTAATGAAATGGATATGAGAAATGAAGGAATGAGAATATAACAATGATTCTTAGGTCTCCTCAGTGGGTAGGTGGTGATGCCATAAATGGATCTCCAGACATTTCTTTACTAAAAGTCTCAGCATTGTATCTATTAGGATTTTGTGTTTAAGTCCATAAATTAAAAGTAATTTTAGGTTCGGTGCCCGTAGCTCAGTGAGTAGGGCACTGGCCACATACACCGAATCTGGTGGGTTTCAGCCCAGCCTAGGCCTGCTAAACAATAATGACAACTGCAACCAAAAAATAGCCGGGCATTGTGGTAGGCACCTGTAGTCCCAGCTACTTGGGAGGCTAAGGCAAGAGAATCACTTGAGCCAAGAGTTGAAGTGTTATTAATATACCCACATGCCATTCAATTCACCCATTTAAAATATACTAGTCAGTGGTTTTTAGTATATTCATAGAGTTGGGCAACCCATTACCACAATCAATTTTAGAACATTTTTATTGATCCCAAAAGAAACCCTGTAATCCTGAAACTGCCACCAATACCACGCCAGCCCTAGGTAACCACTAATCTTTCTGTCTGTATGGATTTGCCTATTTTAGACATTTCATATAAATGATTGTGGAATATACGGTCTTTTGTGACTACTTTCACTTAGCATAATATTTTCAAAGTTTACCCATGTTGTAGCATGTGTCAGGACTATATTCTTTTTCATGCCCATTCTATTGCATGGAGATATCACATTTTCTTTATCCATTCATCAATGGATAGACATTTGTGTTGGTTCTCTTTTTTGGCTATTATGACTAGTGCTGCTATGAACATACGTTTCCAGTTCTCATGGGTATATACCAAGGACTGGAATTGCTGGGTTCTTACAGTAACTGTTAAAGCTTTTGAGGAACTGCCAGACTTTTCCACAGCAAATGCCCGTATTACATTTCCATTAACATGTGAGGTTTGCCCACACTTGTTATTATTTGTCTTTTTGGTTATAGTTACCCTAGTGTATGAAGTGTAAAGTAGTAAGTACCTCATTGTGGTTCTAATTTACATTTTCCTGATGGCTTATGATTAGAATCTTGGCCATTTGTATATGTTTAGAAAAATGTCCAGACTCTTTGCCCATCTTTCAATTATTTAATTTTTTCTTATTTTAAATTGAGAACTTTTGAAATAGAGGAAATGTTACTACTCTTAGGAGAAAAGTAATCTGTTCTCCTCTAATTAATTCACCACCCTTAAGAGATTAGATTAGATTCTAGTTCTTCCTCTCTAATGTAACAAATTGCCAAACATTACTAAAACTGTATAGTTCTGTAGTTGAAAACCTGCTTTTAATTACATTTCTTTGTAAGGTTCTTAGATTAGGTTGGCTGGGGTAGGAGACACATTACATAGGAGATAGTAGTTAGGTGGTCTGGATTTGAGTCCCAGGCTCCTTTGTTTATTGATCATGTGAACTTGGGTAAGTCACATTCTCTCTCCAAGTTAGTTTTCTTGTTACATAAAGGCTCGGCGCCTGTGGTTCATGTGGCTAAGGTGCCAGCCACATACACTTAAGGTGGCGGGTTCAAATCCAGCCCAGCCTGCCAAACAACAATGATAGCTGCAACCAAAAAATAGCCGGGCATTGTGGTGGGCGCCTGTGGTCCCAGCTACTTGGGAGGCTGAGGCAGTAGACTCACTTGAGCCCAGAAGTTGGAGGCTGCTGTGAGCTGTGATGCTACGGCACTCTACCCAGGGGGACAACTTGAGGCTCTGTCTCAAAAAAAAAAAAAAAAAAAAAACCCAGAAAATCCTTGTTACATAAAGTATTTCAAACCCCATGGGATTATTGTGAAGCCTGGATGAAATAGTGCGTGTAAAAATACCAGGGGCAGAGATGCTCAGTATTTTTGAGTCCAAGAGTTATAAATAGAAAACTGAGAGCTCAGAGAAGTTAAATGATGTACCCAAACTCACAGATTAAAATGCTAATAGGTCATGCTGAGCCATGAGTTACTGTGTTTTCTCCTTCACAGAGGTGCCAATTTTAGGCTTTTTTTTTTTTTAAGTTCAATTATGTGTCACAAATCCCATAGAAGAGGAAGTGGAGTGAAAAAAGCACCATGTAAGTAATACCTTCCCAGAAAGGATATTGACAACAGCCTACTGCCTGTGCTTGTAGGTTTATAAGCTTTTTAAGTAAGACTTGATGACCTATATACTGAAAAAGAAGAACTGAAACCCAGTAGGATCAGATTTGTACTTGTGAGCAGGTTCACTCTGCCTTCCTTCTTCCATGCACATACAGTGCATGAAAACACACTGAAACATACACTGCCTTTTTTTTTTTTAATCATGCAAGCCTGGGTTTGAATCCCAACAAGCATTGTGAACTTTGACAAGCTTTAAAAGGCATAAAACAGTAGAGGATAGACTGAGTTATAGTACTACATTATCTGATTCCTTTAAAAAAGACTGATAGAGGGTGGCACCTGTGGCTCAAGGAATAGCGCACCAGCCCCATATACTGGAGGTGGCGGGTTCAAGCCCAGCCCTAGCCAAAAACTGCAAAAAAAAAAAAAAAAAGACTGATAGATAAGCATTCTTCCTTCCAAACAGTTCTGTCTGGTGTCCTGACTTTTCGTTCTCTTTCTTGCAATGGCTTGTTATTGAGCACTTTCTATATGGAGATATCAGGGATACAGTTGTCAGCAGGCGGGGCGAGGGGAGGGGGGGGAAGAAAGCCTCTCCTGGAGCTTCCAGCCTAGTAAAAGAGACATGTTAATCAAAGAATTACAGCTGAATGTATAAAATAGTAATAGCTAAATGGAGAAATACATAGTGCCATGATAGCATGTTAATGGGGAGATTAGGGGGAGTTTCCCTAAGGAAGGAATGCTTAAGCATGATCAGAAGGAAAAGAAGGAATTAAGATTAAAGTAGGCAAAGAGGAGGAGATAAGCTGTCCAGCAAATGGGACAGCAGATGCAAAGTTCTGTGGTGGGAGAGGCACAGTGGGAGGGGAACTTCAAGTAGGACAGCATAGTTAGAGCCTGTATATAGCAAGGGCAGCATGGCAGAAACAGACGGTGGACTGAGGCAAGAGGATTGTCTGAGCCCAAGAGATTGATTAAGGTTACTGTGAGCTACGATGATGCCAGGCGCTCTACCCAAAGCAACAGAGTAAGACACTGTCTCAAACAAACAAAAAAGAATCTTACAGATTGTAATAAAGGTGTGTGCCTTTATTCTAAAAACAAGAGGAAGTCAATGAAAAGTTTTAAGCCACTGAAACTGACAAAAATCATTTAATACATTTATAAAATGTTTGGAGTCGTGCTGGTTAATTACAAAAAACTATACTTGACATTTCTGTTTTGGTGCCAGTCACGTGTTTTTCTCAAACATCTTCAATAGTTCCCTTTGCCTCTGGTTTTATTATCAGGATAACAGAGTAGAGGTATGAATTTGGCATTTAGGACTCTTGGATCAAGCCTCAAACTACATTTCTGGATTCATAATCCAATTTCACTAACCCAAGCTACTACTCACCTCCCCCACCACACCACATGCCTTTTGCTTTGCATTTGGAAGTTTCACTCCTTGCTCGATGTTCAGCTTGAATTCTACCTCCATCATCAAAACTCCCCAGATCTTTTCAATGAAAACTCATCCCTCCCCACTGCTGGGTTCTTCTAGCATTTGGGGAAAAACATATGCTTTCTTATCACTTACCATTTGTTACCTGCTGAGAATTATTTGCAGTGCATAAGGATCTTCTTTTCAGGTAGAAACTCACATTTTATTTTTGGAAGTTACTAAGTTTCTTAATGTATTAATAATACCTGATAGGATTTCCAGATGTGCACTGTAACACACTATGAGTGTTCCTTTGTACTTCCCCACAGCGGGCCTCCCAGAGAGTTCTTGAAATTCAGTATTTTAGGGAGTCATTCCAAAAAATTCTTTCATCCTAAAGTGATAAGTACCAAGCTTTCTCAGTTCTTATAGCAGTGAACAAAATAGTAAAATATATTTGCCCTGTATAGCATACATTCTAGGCAATAAATACAAAAATGCATAGTATCTTAAGAAAAAAAGAGAAGAGTAATATGAAATTCTAAAATGTATAAGTATGAAAGATGAGATAGGATAGATAGGGAAGGCTTCACCAAGAAGATAACTCAAAAAAGTGAGAGAAGTAGCCAGGCTGATTGCTCTGGGAAGTGTTTTAGGTGAGAGAACAGCAAGTACAAAGGCCCTCAGGGATATGCCTGGCATGTTCAAACAACAGTATTAAGAAGAATGAGACAGGATTAGAGTGAACGGGGAGGAAGTAGAATGTGAGGGAAAGGAGAGATACTGGAAACTATTCCTAGTTTTCTGCCTGTCTTCATCATAAAAGATCCTGAATTTTGTCAAATGCCCTTCTTTGCATCAATTGAGATAATCATGTGAATTTTTTCCTTTGTTGTATTAATGTTTATTGTATTGATTTTCTGATGTTGAACCACCCTTGCATTCCTGGGATAAACTCTACTTGCTTTAGGATAATATAATCTTTTTAATATGCCTTTGGATTCAGTTTGCTAGTATTGACAGTGTTTTGCCTCTGTATTCACAGGGACATTAGTGTGTAACTTAATTGTAACTTGTGATATCTTTATCTGGTTTTATTATCAGGATAACAAAGTAGAAACCTCCATACTTGA